TATGAACCTCGAAAGCTACTTGCTAGGTCTAACACGGAGAATAAATTCTCACGAAGACGTCACTTTCACTCCCACTTAAAAGGGACAAGCTTGATTATAAAGCATATATTATACAATGCAAGTGTTGTGTGTAAGGAGAAATGTTCAAACCTTTGACAAATAAATAAATAATGAAATTTAATACTTTGAAAATAAAACTAAAGTAAAGATATTAAAAAATAATAAATATAAATATTATGAAAATAATAAAAATTTTAAAAAGAAAGGATTATAAATTAAATATATGAATTTCTAATTTCTAATTGATAGAGACAATTAATAATTGATTTTAAAGTTTGACCGGTCCCCAGCGGAGTCGCCAAGCTGTCGTAACTGGTTTTTGCCCGGGCATGAAATTTTTACTTGGCGGGAAAAAATTAAACGAATAAATAAATGATTTTGATTTAAAAAATATTTTGGGAGTCGCCATTGACATTTTTGGGTTAGGTAAGTCAAATACCTAAAAACAATCTTTTAAAATAGTTTTTAAGAAAACATTATTTAAAAGAGAAACTGATCTGCGTATAACAAAAAAAATTTAATAAAAAGGGATTCGTGGTCGGTTACGTTTAGGGAAGGATTAGCACCCGGTACTCATTAATTATAAATTGTCTCTATTATTAGAAATTTAAAAATTCGAAGATATATTTAATTTATAATCTTGTTATTTCAAATTTATTACTATAATTTTAAGAAAATCTATTAATTTATATATAAATAAGATATTTATTTATTTAGAAATATCAGAAAATAGCTTCTAGGTGCTTTAAGACAACTCTTTTCTTAATATTAAAAAAATAAATAAATATTAAAACATTTATCTAAAATAGATATAATTTATAAAAGTAATATATTTAATTATTTAAAATATCAGAAAATGGACATCCGGTTACTTTAAGACTGTCATTTCTTAATATTGAAAAATAAATATTAAAATATGATTAAAATGATTTAAAAGTAATTTGTTAAATTTATAAATAGGATTTTAATAAAATAAATAGATAAATATTGTTTATTATAAATATATTTACATGACTAAATAATAATAATAATAATAATAATAATAATAATTAAATATATGAACATATAAAATTTAAAATATAAATAAATAATAACTAAAATTAACATTAAATATAAAAGGTAATAAGACTTTTAATTAAATAAAGGTATTAAAATTAATGGCTAAATTATAACATTTTAAAATTAGATACCTAATTTATAAATAATTATTTAATATTTCAGTGACTAAACATGCAATTTTTCCTATTTTTAATTTAGGGACTAAATTAAATATATATAAAATTGGAACATCAAATTAAAATAAATTAAAACATGCTGTTCGTGATTAAAATATTAATTATTAAAATTATTAGGGCTAGATCGGTTATTTGCCTAAAATATATATTTTATATAAAGGATTAAATTATAATAAATTAAAATTTGAACACCGAATTAAAAGAATCTAAAATTTGATTCAGTGACTAAAATATAAAGTTATAAAACAGATGGACTGCGGGTATAGTTTACCCATATGTGAAATTACACAAATACCCTCCCAAAACGGTGTCGTTTGGGGAGGGGTTTAAATACCCCGAATGGCCGGCCCTTCGGGCCATTTCTTTTATTTTTCTTTTCTTCCTCTCTCCCTAAAACTGAGAGAACACAGTTGTCTCTGTCTTCTCTTTAAGTTCCCTCACCGGAGGGAATCCAATAGCCAGCTGGAAGCCACACACTGCCATTAGCTCCGCAGCCGGCCACCGTATTCGTTGGTCGGATTTTACAAAAACAACCCCAAATTACAACTTATATTTTCCTTTATCCAGATCTAAGGTGGGTTTTGCTAAAAACCCTTTAGATTTCCCTAAATCTAAGAAAAAAACGTAGGTAGTACCTTTGGTTTTCTCGGTGAAACTGACGAGCAGGGTAAGTTTTCTTCTCTTTTTTCTGTCTATTCCTGGTTGATTGTGATCGTTGGTAGTGTTATAGTTTGCTCTGTTTTTTTTCTTTGTTCTGTTCTCTCTGTCTGGTTGCTCTCTCTGGTTGCTCTCCTTTTTTTTTATTTTGCAGATTTACTGGTCTTTGTATACCACTATGGTACCCGCATCGGACCGGGTAATAGAGCACCCTTCGGTGATTCACCAAACCTAAGGTGGTGACTCACCTTAGGGCTATAACGTGGATGATCTCCTATTGAAACGGTGGGGTGTAGAGCGACAGTTGGCGTTGAAAGTGGCTGGACGAGGCACCTGGCAATGGACTGTCGGCCATGGCTGCTGGAAGCTGAGGCGACGTCGCGTGGTTGCCCTAGGGTATCATACCCTAGGGTTTCATCTGGAAGGTTGTGGGTCATTGGATCAGGGTTAGATCCAACGGTGGATAGCTGATGGCGGCTGGGGTTGAGATATAAACCCTAAATGGGTTTAGGGTTACACATTTGGGCCAATTTCTGGTTTGGGCCTGTAATATGTAATTGGGCCGGTTTGGTTTTGGGTCTATAATGTAAATAATAATTTTTTTATTAATAATAATAATAATAATTATAAAATAATAATAGAAATAAATTAAATAATAATAACAATAATAATAATAATAAAAACAAATGGATGAAAAATTAGTATATTCAATTGCCATACGGGCGAAACGACCACGACGACCATTATCTATTTGGTAGTCTATCTTAACTACAAAACCAATCCGTGAACCAATGGCTTCGATCATACTCCGTTTGTACCAAGTGATCGGTAAGCCTGGAAGACGGACCCAAGCCATAAAAATCTTCAGACCATGGTTCTATTGTGATATAGTGACCAAATATGGTTCAAGGACCATCAGTGAGAGCACAAATATAGTCAAAGCGAGAAGAAAATTTGACTAAGAAATAGTCATTCTTTATATCAATTAGTTTGATTGGCTTTGATGGTTTCCAGATGTTTATAGTTCTATTGTAGAGAGTAGTATACCCCACTCTACGCCCCAGAACCTTAAGAGCAAGGGTAAACTCCATGATCTTAGGGTAAATTCATGTACTCTTGTCGAAAAATCAATGAAGGGGATTCCATCGGAGACACCAGTTTTACTGTCATCATTGGTAAGATCAAAATCGTCATCCAAAGGGATCAGATCTTCGTCTGGTTGGCATCCAGTATTAGTGACCGTATTTTTATAAGAAAGCGGCGACTTCGGGGCATTAGGAGCGAAGGAAGCATCACAGTCCATGATCAAAACCGAAGGAGAGGCAGGCGGGACAGAGCCATCCGGAGGAGCTTCATCCTGGCGGCGTTGGTTTTTATGAAGGTGGGAATCATCGGGTATTAGGTTTTCTTTCATCCCGGCGGCTATTTTTTAAGTCAAGTAATTTCATCTGATTTTAATTTTAAGACTATATTAGAATATGATAGATTTGAAAGCTATGTTATTGGTGAAATTATAAAATTTTAAAGGATTTTGAATTTACAAAATTTTAAGAGAAAAAATAATTTTTTTTAATAAAAACACAAACACAAGAAGTATATATTTTAAAATATATAAAATTTAAAAAATGATGATAATAAGAGTCACAAGAAAAAGGTCATTTCTGTATGAGGTATATCTCACTACAAGAAGCATTTTTTTACCTATAGCGGCGTTATGACAAACGTCGGAAAAAGTGTCGCTGAAAATAGCGCCTCTAAAATTTGCGGCGTTTGTGAACGAAAAATGCTGCAATAGGTATTGATATTTAGCGGCGTTTTTCATACAAACGCCGCAATACGTGTTAATTTTTAACGGCGTTTTTCCCACAAACACCGCAATAGGTGTTGAGATTTAGCGGCATTTTTATCACAAAATTCGCAATATGTCTTGTGATTTAGCGGCGTTTTTCTTGCAAACGCCGCAATAGGTGTTGAGATTTCGCAAAGTTTTTTGATACAAACACCGCAAAAGGTCTGGTATATAGCGGCATTTTTAGGATACAAACGCCGCTAAATGTATGGTATATTACGGCGTTTTTTGTTACAAACCTTCTGAATAACGCATAATTTAACCAATTTAAAAATTATATTCGATTACCCCAAATCTATTTTTTCAACCTGTTCCATTATCCAACAAACATGACAACAATAACATCAAACTCTATATCCATAACAAGCAACATCAAATCTAATATAATAAATAAAAGTTTTCATTAACATAATATAAGTTCAGTTAAACACGTTTCAATAACATTAACAGAATACTAATAACTCCACTAATGAGAATGAACAAATTGAAGCTGATAAACCACAAAGAATTAGTTATAATACATTCAAGATAAAGACTCATGGCACGAGCCAGATACTCCTTTCCAGCTACTCCGTCAAGCAGAGCAGTAATAGGATAGAAAGTCATTTAAATGACATCAGGAGAGGAACGGACGGTTTTTACCCATTGAGTGTGATTTTGTTCCAGATCATCTCCTCCCCTCCTCCGGAAAATGACCTCAACATCCTGCAAAAACATCTAGTCACACATCTGGAATTGACTAAGAGTAAATGATATACGAAAAAGAATGAGTTCCAGGTAAATCATGTAAATAACGTCTTTTGGCAACCAGAGGCAAGTTGCCATATCCACTTTCAAACCATAAAAAAATTGAACCACCAAACCTAATCCTAAAGTAAGATATACTCGAATATCTTTTGGCAACTAAAAGTAATAAACTATGTATGCTAGCCTCTCCTGTACACTTAATCATGATCGATGATGTCATTACTGTACATCATTGCCATACAAAAAACTAAAGAGGAACAGTAGGAAGAATGACAAGAACCACCACCAAAATAAAGCTTAATTCCACTGCATGGGGTGGCTGCATTATCTGATCGAACAGTAAACTGTAACAGAATAGCACCCCAAAGATATCAAATATTCATAAGCAAATTGATTTCCAGTTTTCACTAATAAAACCGACAAGCCATCTAAATACCTCTTTCCCAAAGATATCAAATATTCATAAGCATCTTTGTGGCCACGAAATCAATATTCATTGAACCAGTAAAGCTAAATACAGAATTGAAACTACCAAGTGGAAAACTACCAGACACATTTGCTTTTTTATTAAAATACTCCACCATCTGCAGTTGGTAGTTAAGAAAAAGGTAAATTAGAAATTGTTAAAATCAATACAAATCATTTTGAAAGAAATCAAGTCAAAGCAAATCATTGGAATCAAACACCAACAATCAAACATTACATGTATACTTCCATAGGACATATCATATAAGAAACTATTTAACTACTCTAGGCCAACAATTAACACTAATGACAAATATCAATTCTTACAGACTACAACCTCGCAAGAAATCTCCAAACTTTTACTTTGAGCTAAACCCAGAACATTATTTTACCTCATGAAAATTACAAACCCCAGAACTATGACGGCCAATAGGCTCCTGGGAGTTCTTGATATCTCTGGAAATATTGTGCAGAACAAGTTGATCGTCCAAGTAGACATCCCTAACGTGTTCCTCGTTGATTTTGACAATCCTATAACCTGTAACACCTTTACAGTATAACAACCTCGTATCGAAGTTGACATCAAATCCTCTCCCTAATGCCTGAACTACGTTGATTGCAGTGTGTTGAGCAGCTGCATTTCCATTTTCCCCCATTTTTTCATCACCAGAGTTCCCACTTCAAACACCAACTTTTCCCTCGATCAAAATAATGCCAAGAACACCGAATAAGCTCGGCTGAAAAAAGAAACCCCAATTTCCCTATTCCACTGAAATCCAAAGAGATCGAATGAGCTGTGAAGATAATCAAAAGGCGCAGCAAACCAAAGCACGGAGATTTTCGTGCAGTTCTTTGAGAGAAAATCTGGAGTTGACCCGAGGGAGAAGACTCGCTAGAGATACGGCAATGAGAGAATCAAGGGTTCAACTTTTAATCGGGACCCACAAATTGAGTTTCTAGATGACTAAAAATTAAAAAACAAACCAAAACCAAAGTTGGGTATCGCGAAAAGATTATAAACCACTCAACCAAAACAAGAAAGAACTTATAAACACTACTAAGAGGGCAAACGAATGAAGAGAAAGAAGCCTAACCTGGGTATCGCAAAAAGCTTCTCTTTTTCGTCGCAAAAGTTTTGATCCGGGTCTCAAATCAGAGAGAAATCGAAGGGAAAGAAGGGTTAAGAACAAGCTGTGTTGGATTTGGACACAGTGAAGAAGATGGCTGCTGTAGTTCTCTGGGTAAATTGTAATCAGCGGGAGGGAAAGGAAAATCGTGATGAAAAAATGGCTAGGGATAGAGGAGAATTAAAACAGACTTTGCGGCGTTTAACAACACAAACGCCACTGAAGGGTAACTTGAGGCGTTTTAAATAAAAACGCAACTAATGTTAATAACATTTGCGGCGTTTTTTGTACAAACGCCACTAAAGTACGAATCATTTGTGGCGTTTGTTACCAAAATGCAGTTATATGTGAACCCTATTACGACATTATTGTAAAAACGCTGCTAAAGTACTATTTTGTTGCGGCGTTTATTAAAAAATATCGCTATATGTCTAAAGTTAGTGGCGTTTCTATGAAAACGCCAAATGTCCAATTCTTTTGCGGCGTTTGTATTAAAATGCCTCTATAGTGCTACTCTATAGCGGTGTTTGTCACTTATAAGCCCCTAATACAACTCACACCTATGTATGTATAGTTAGTTTGGTATGATAGAAATCCAAACAATACAATCCTTTTGACAATTTTTAATAAAAATATCATCTACTAAAAAAGTTATTTTTCAAATTAACATATATTTAGGATAATTCTTAGATTGACATTCTTTTTTTATTACATGTAAGGTAAAAATGTATCTCGTTAATTTCTTTAAAAAGTATTTTTTTTATAAGATGCACTTTATTGTACATGACAGTCCAATCAACAATCCAAATGAAAGATGTGATTGATTAAATACGCTTTCCAAAGATTTGGTTGTAAATTTTGAGAAGATTTGAAAGACGAAATTTACCTTTTTGCTCGCCTTTCTTACACGTTCTCCTTCCTGAGCTGTAAATGAGACGAGACAGATTATAAGTTATTCGAGATTGACTCGATCAAGGCTCGATAAATACTCAGATTGAATGAACTCGACTCGAGTTCTTAACGAGCCGAAACGAGCTACTCGATACTCGACTCGAAAAACTCGTGAGCAGCTCGAAAAAAATGTTATATTATAATTTTAGATTTTTTAAAATTACATTATTAAAGATATTAAAATACACTATTGATAATTATAAAATTTTAAAAATATATTAAAAATTTTATAATACACTACCCTCAATTTTAATTTTTTTAATTAACCACCCAAGTCCAATTGTTACATTGTACATTACTAAAAAAAATAAGCTCATTTAATTAAGCACATATTAAATTACACGTGTTTGGTTGAATTTTTTTTTTTAACTTTTACTGCCAAGTACTTGAACGTAGAAAATAAAATAAAAAATAGAAAAAACTGCCAAACAATAGAAAATTGAAAATGGTTAAAAATTATTTTGAATAAATATTATATTTATTTTAAATTAAAAAAATTATTTATCTAATGACAAATATTTAATATTCCTAATGATATTTTTAATAACTATTTTTAAAATTGTTGTTATATTTGAGGTTTCGGGTTCAATATAAATATAAAGGTTTGAGCATTTAATATCAAAATACTATATTGTACTTACCTCATAAATCAGTACCAAGTCGATTATTTAATGTATTTGTAATGAATCCTAAACTCTTAAAACCCTAAACCATAATACCTAGCCCTTAATCCCTAATCCTTAAACATTAATCCCTAACCCTCTAACCCTCTAACCCCTAAACCATAATCCATAATCCCTAAGTACTAAACCCTAAATCCTAAACAATAAATAGTAAACCATAAACCCTAAGCCCTTAATTCGATTATGCGATAGGGGTTAAGTTATACACATGAAGATAACATACAAATTATGCAAAATGATGTTATGTGACTCCTAAATAAATCATTCACATACTTATGTTTAGATAATATTAATAATTTATGTTGATTGTGCTATAAATACATTATTTTATTTTAGAAATCTTCATGATGCTTACTCATTCGTATTTTTAGAAATGAATTTCAACGTATAATTAATATTATGTAGGTTTATTTGATATAATATTAATAATTAATTAAAAATATATTATAAAAGTTTATAAATATTATGTAGGTTTAATTAATAGTATACCACATTAAAACAACAATAGTACATAACATTGTAACAATAATAATAGTGTCAAAATATATAATTAAAGAGTTTATCACATTAAAACAACAATAATATACAATAGTAATAATACAAAGTCTAATTCATAATTAGTTCTACAACACATCAAACCAACAATATGTGGAACAAAAACAGTTCACATACTTCTTTAGAACGGGCAAACCTTGCCTTAGTCCTTGTATTTCATTTTTTCCTTCCCAAAACTGATAGTCAGAAATTGCTTCGCGTACTCCTCGACTTTTTTTCAGAGCTTAGCGATTTCAGATTGAAAGTTCATATCTGATTCCAAGATTACTACAAAATCCTTCAACTTTGTTCCTGGATTAATAGTAATTCAAGGGAAATGTGCGAGCATATATTCCATTTTTACAACATATATAAATATTGCCCTTCAGCTTTCTCTTTCTTTGCGGCAGGCGGCGGCTATTGACTGAAGCAAATGAAAATAAAGAAGAGATGGAAATTAAATAAAACATTAAAGAAGCAATGAAAAACACTTTGCCCAGAATTTCGAAGAGCGACTGCTTAGATTCTGCCCATTCCTAGATTCTCTCTCTCAGACTGGGTTTTGATTAGTAGTTGAAATGATGTCTTCGGCTAGTGAAGTTGCTTGCTCTTACGCTGCTTTGATTCTCCATGACGATGGCGTCCTCATTACCGCTGCGAAGATTGCAACTTTAGTTAAAGCTGCAAATGTTTTGGTTGAATCATACTGGCCGAGTTTGTTCGCTAAGCTTTTCGAGAAGTGTGATATTGAGAATCTCATAACGAATGTTGGTGCTGGTGGCGGCGGTGCTCCGGTCGCTGCCGCTGCACCCGTTGCCGCAGCCGGTGGTGGTGCTTTTGCTCCTGCTCCTGCTGAGGAAAAGAAGAAGGAAGAGCCGGAGGAGGAGAGCGATGATGATTTGGGATTCAGTTTGTTTGATTAGAAAGATCCTTTCAATTCCTGTTTTGGTTTTCATTACTCGTTTAATGCATTAAGCTTTGACAGTAGCTGTTGTTTTGAGTTTTATCTGTGTTAGTTTTTGGTTGTTTTGAGTATTCTTCTGAGAATTGCGTGTTTGAATCTTGTTATGCATACAATCCTTGTCTGACGCATTTGTAAAAGTTTTCAAGTGCTTCATTTCATGTGGTTAAATGGTTTGAAATACAAATCTTCTTCTTTTAAAATTAAAGAAGCAATGAAAGAAGATAAGAAAAAAAGTTAGAGACATAGGAACCATGTAGCGGAGGGAGGTGCGACTGAAGAAGGGTCTGATCGGAGACTTGAAGCAAAAAGTTAGTTGTGAGTTGATATCCCACACCGGTTATTCTTGGGGAATAAGGGGTAAGGTGAGTGTATAAAATGAGATAGGTTTTAAGCAAATCAACACTAACCTGTCGAGCTTGAATGGAGCTCCAAATCGAGCTTGAGTTTCGAGCTCTTGAATTTTTGTTTGAGTTTGAGCCTTTTCGAGTTTGAGTCGAGTTTCAATATTATCTTTTGAGTTTGAGTTGAGCTTGAAAGTTTTAGGCTCGCGAGTTTTCGAGTCGAGTCGAGCTTACATTTAAAGCTTTCGAGTTCAAGTCGAGCTCGACAATACTCGAGCTCGACTCGACTCGTTTACACCCTACTCCTTCCCCTTTGAAAACTCATTCTCCCTCCCAATAATACACATGCAACAAGTTAAAAAAATCCTTTATTTTTATTATGTAAAAATGATCATGGTGAAATTTGATTTTTGGTAATTTTTTATTTTATTTATTTAGTTGATTAGTTTTTATATTTTTTTAGTATATACTATTTTTTATTATGATATTTTTACAATTAAAAATGAAATACTAAGATTAGATACGAAATACATTTCGACTTGTCAATCACATGTTAAAAATTAAAATTTATTTATTATTACTTAATTAATATTATATTTTTCATATAATTATTTTAAATTAATAGAGTGTATTCTCAAACTATTAGTTCATAATGCGAAGAAATCTCCCCTAATCGCATTATGAAGTACTCAAATCAAGTCAAATTTGAATACGTTCCTCGGGTGCTCGGAGGTTGTAAACTGTAACAAAACATATTTTTACATTTATTGAGAGGTGGAGACCAAAGGCATAAATCTTTATTTTTCTTGTGAGGAGTTCACAATCATTCTGGAAGATGTTTCACTTCAATTAGAACTCTGGATCGATGAAGGTGTCATAATTAGTAGGAATACTAATAAATGGCCTGCTCCATGCCACACCTTTCTTAGGAAAGTTCTAGATGAGTTTAATGGTGGCATTAAAAGGATGTTCATAATGCTCTTCGTATATGGAGGTTTGAGTAAAATTTTCTATTGCCTTTAAGGTTGTTGGTTATAAGGGAAAATTAACGTGTAATTTATTGGGATCAATTCACCCTAATAAAATCTAGAAATTTCTTGTAGAAAGTAAAAAGAATTGGGAAAGAAAGAAAATTAAATGTAATTAAACCACTTGATTTACCACATAAAACTTAAAGTGGTTAAACTCGAGCAAAAATAAAAAATAACATCTACAAATTCAGAGTA